ACTGAAACGTCATGAATTGAACAACATGGCGGCTAGCGTTTTCACGCGAAAATTTTAAACGACAGATTAAAAGTAATTTTTATGGCACTATTCGGTTTTAAAAAATATGTAAAAATTACAGTGGTTCATTATCACTCTAGGATTTAGTTAAAACAATTTTTGAAAATGGGTAAAATACCCTATTTACGCAAAAACCCTAAGGACTGACGTGAATATTCTGGAGCTAGAAGAAGAGATTATCTGAGGTTCGAAGAGAGGGAAGGTAGTCCTGGAATACAGCAACTTGTTCTATCACCGGGACCTATTCGTACTACAACCATACAAGTTATTTAGCTGCAGTGTACTAAAGTCTATTGGTCGTTCATAGTAATAAAACTGAAAATCAAGGAAAATATAAACATGTTACAGTATTTAAATATATATCATAGTCCTTTGAATATCTTGAACAAGGAATTCTCCTGGAAATGGGCGCTCTTCGAAACTTAGTGACAAGTTTTACGGCTGTAAACTCCGATAATAGGAGGACTTAATTGATGGCTTAAGTTTATCGTTTGGGAATTTAATTAGGACGACTCAATTAGGTACACCCAATACTGATATTATGTACCAGGGTGGTCTAAAAAGTTTCCGACCTCAACGTAAAGATGGCAGTACTCGTAAATAAAAGCGAGTGAATATTTTTTTATTTTTAGTTGTGCATCCTTTGCCAGTTACTCTCGAAAACTCAGCCATTTTGGACGCCTATTTGTTACTTGACAGTCGATTGAGTGAGTCAATGAGTGTTTTTGTAAAAAAGAAAAAAATGAGTATCGACCTGTAATAAATTTTTTGTTTTTGAAAGTAAATACGCCTACGCAAATCAAAATGAGTTGGAAAAGTTAGAAAGAAATCCTGTTTCACCATGACAGAGTGCCATCTCACACCTCAACGGTTACCATGGCGAAAATCCACGAATTACGGTTTGAACTTACTTGACCATCCGATCTGGCCCCAAGCGAACTTTTGAGATCTCCCACCAAAAAATTGCGCTTGGAGGACAAATATTTTCCTTAAGTGAAGAGGCAATTACCTTTTTGAACAATTATTATAAAGAGAAAACGCCGGATGGGTAAAAGAGACGGGAAAATCGCTGGGAGAAGTATGTAGAGTGACAAGGAAAAAATGTCTTGTGTTTTATTTAGGCCCAAAACTTTTCAGATCACCCACGTAAATATATGATACTGTAACATAAAGAATAAAATTATTTTGTTACTCCATTTATTATATGAAAAATATGATTCAGTTTCTTAATAAGAAATACTTATTTAACCAGAGAGCAAATGCTGTTTTTTAAATTTCACTCATTCATTCTATCTACCCTATTAAATTCAACTACAGAAAAAAGGTATTTTATAAAGACTGCCAAAAGGATTTGCAATAATTAGTTATGAATAACTTTCCACATAGATGATGTTGCTCAGGATCGTGTTATGTGGCGTTCGTTGTGGAAGTAGTATGTTCAGAGGTGGTTCATATTATGAGAACTGCAAGGGTTGTTCAATAGATTTCTATTTAGTTACTGCTTATAATATATCCAAATGATAAGCAGTCTTCAACTGTGTCTTTCAATATAACAAAACTATTTTGATTCTATGTAAATTTATTAAAGAAAAATTAATTCGTATTAGTATATAATTGGTCTTCATTAGCAACCTTTTATTACCTTAATTTGTTTACTTAAGCGCCCTTAAGGCGCTTAAGTAAACAAATTAATTATGAGTTAGGGGAGCGACCGAGAATCAGATTAAGTAATCAATTCTACCAATTTACTGAGTAAAACCTCTAAGAAATTATTAAAGAAATTTGAGAACTTAGACTTGGATTATATATGAAATTATTATCTGCAGATATAATCATGTTGGATCAGAGACTGTCCTGGTACCCACAGCTTAAGCAAGTTGCCGGAAGAGTCAGAAAGTTGATTTGGGTCTTTAGAACACTAAGGCATGTGGTTTCAGGTAATAATAAAAAAAATAGTGACCGGGAAACATCAAGAACAATTCTGAATGAGATATATATTTATATATATTATATATATATAAATATACCCTACGATGCAAGTAAAAAAGGAAAAAGAAGAAAAAATAACGTGGCTTCAGTACTCAAAACTAAAACTAAGTTTGCTAGTACTCAATATAATAGTCGCTCGTCTCAAATTAATATAATTATAAATGAAAATGAAAAGATAAATATATACATAAATATCAATAAAATAAAATAAATACAAAAATACATAAATAAATGAAAGCCCAACCAGATGGAAGCCCTCGGCAGGGGAGACCAAACGGCCGAGGGTTAGGGGGAAAGGGAAAGAAACCATCGGACGATGCGGGCAGTATCAAGGAGCACCGCCTTCTGAATTTGAGCCCGGAGCGGTCCGTCACGGAGTCCCAGTCGCCTCAGATGACCAGAGAGGCTAACTGGGATTAGCCCATTCGCAGAGACGACTACAGGAATAATTTCGGTCGGCAGACCAACTCACATGTCGGTCACCTCGGCCAGGTCCAGATATTTTGATTGCTTATCTGTTTCGGCTTTCACGAGATTCTCGTCATACGGGATGGTAATATCGACCAAAAATATCCTTGACAGTGCCCGGTCCATCAGCACAATATCAGGCTTATTCGCAAGAATAGTCCTGTCTGTGATGATGGCCCGGTCCCAGTAGAGCCTCTCGCGGTCATTTTCGAGCACGGCATTTTCCAGCAAGTACTTGTAATACGGCAATTTCCGGTCCACGAGACCGTATTTCAGAGCGAGCTCCTGGTGTAGAATTCTGGCTACTAGGTTGTGCCTGTGCAAGTACTCAGAGTTAGAAAGCGCCGAACAACCGGAGATGACATGCCTAAGCGACTCACCGGGATGGCGACAGGCTCGACAGACGTCGACGGTGCCATCCTTTAGGATGTATCTCCGATAGTTGTTGGTCTTAATAACCTGATCCTGTATTGCACATTTCGAGTGCTAAGGATAGAGGGGTAAGCCCTTTATCACTAGAAATTACGTAATTATAGAATGGATCATCCGATCTCGCCAGGAAGTAATCACGGAGGCTGCACACTTCGCGATTATGCATGGTGAGCGCGCTCAGAAAACCACGCCTACCATGCTTACGCGGCAAGTACAGCCTCATTACCGACGATCTCGTATGATGCATCCTATGGGACGTCATGGTAGTGCGGACTTTTCTATCCAGGGCGTTAAGTTCGGTCTGAGTCCACCTGAGTACGCCAAAGGTATATATGAGGACAGGCATGACCCAACCGTTATATGCGTGTGTCTTATTCACGCCGGACAAAAGGCTGTTAAACATTTTGGTCAAGCGTGCATAAAACATATCGCAAACTGTCTGTTTCATACCAGCCTCATCGATACCGATGTTCTGTGACATACCCAGGTATCGGTATGTTTCAGCCTCGGAAAGGGTCTTTAAGTTGACGGACATAGATAAATCTATGCCCTCAGAGTTAGCAACCCTTCCCCTTTCAACATGAAGGACCGCACACTTATCCGTCCCCAGCTCCATTCCAATAGAACTGCTAAATTCACAAGTGATGTTTAGCAGCTCCACAAGATGGGAGCGACTGGAGGCGAATAACTTGAGGTCATCCATATAGAAAAGGTGGGTCACTTTTGTTCCTCCTCTCCGTAGCTGAAATCCTCTCCCAGAGCCCTCCAGTAAGGTACTGAGAGGGTTCAGAGAGAGGAAAAACCAGATTGGACTCAGACAATCGCCCTGAAAGATACCCCTTCTTATCTTTATGTGGTTCTCCGCAGCCATCATCCGCTCGCCCAGATAACAGAGGATTGTACTCCACTGCCCCATACACTGCTCGAGGAAGTCTCTTACTGTACAGTCAATCTTGTACAGCTCGAGGACCCTCTTTAGCCATGTATGGGGCACCGAGTCGAATGCCTTTCTGTAGTCTATCCAGGCGGCGGAGAAGTTCCGGCGGTTGCGTTTCACCACTTTGCCAATGACCGCGTCAATGATGAGTGGTTCCTTGGTTCCACGACCACCGCCCCGACATCCATTTTGAGCGCGTGACATCACCTGATTTAGCTCCAGGTGACGAGTGATTCTCGCGCTCAAAATGGATGTCAGTGTCTTATATATAGTGGGTAGACACGTGATGGAGCGGTATTTTCTCGGGTCTGTGGTATCCTGATCTTTAGAAACCAAGTGAGTGATCCCGGTAGTGAAGAGGCTCGGGAGCGACTTCTGATCGAGAGCCTCTTTGATACTGTCGGGCGAGCACAGCGTGACACACTACGAACCCCTGCAGCCAGTAATGATGCAGCCCGGCAAGCCCCGAACTTTTCCAGTTCGGGGCCCTACGGACCGCCTCAGACACGTCTTCCGGCGTTATGGTGACGGGGTCCATAGGCGTAACACTTGCACTTTGGCTCGCCACAACTTCCATCCAAGGGCCCTCGCTGTGGTTTACGGGCTCTGACCACAGGCCACGCCAAAATGCGACAGTGTCAGCCTGATCCGGTCCTGGGCCCGCTCCACATACCTCTGGTCGCTCCAATGATTTATAGAGCCTCTTCTGATCACTCTGGAAGAGACGATTCTGGTTGAACCGCCTTGACCTCTCGCTAAATCGTCGAATCCGCTTCCCCCAAGCAGCGATTTTTTGCTTCAGGTCATCTATGCGCTCCGTTAGTTTCTGCGTGATATCCGGCTGGGACAAACTGATATTTGTCCCAGCAAACGCCATTCTAACGGTGCGCACAACTCTCGTTCTATTATTACCCGACCTGAAGCTTGTCAGTCTGCTGATAAGGGCCGTTGCCTTTGCGATACGGTCCTCGATCCTTTTTCTCCAGGCTAGGATGTCACTACCTTGTTGAGTAGCACGTCCAGCCATGGGAAGTTTGGCGCCAATAATACGGCATACTGCCAGTGCGGTGCCAAAAAGAATTGAGTCCGTCTCGCAAAGGTCCCGGCTGGCTTCCTAATAGGTCACCAGCATTGGGTTAAGAGCCTGCACGACAGCCCGATTTGGCTTGCTAAGGGGTATGCGCGGAAGTCGCGGTCGATTTTCGAGAGGCATGCTGCGCGTTTCCAGCATTGACTCTTCCAATATGCTCCTCATTTTCTCTAGTTCGCGGGGAACTATTCCATCATCGTCTGAATCAACCACAAATGAAATATTGACGGCAGCGTCCACATTTGCAGTTTGCTGCGCAATTAGTGGCGCCGCATTCCCAGCCGTAGCATTTCCATCCGATGAGGGAACAGCCTCACGTCGTAGACGTTCGAGTTCGGCGTCACCAAATATGTTGGAGCGCAGGATGTACCGAACTCGGTCTGCCAGGTTTTGCTCAGTGACGGATAGAGATGGCTCCAGCTCTGCAAAAAAGCGATGCATCCGAGGCCGATATGCCAAACATCCGGTTTCTTCCCCTTTTGCCCTAAAGACAGCCCGCAGTGAGTTTGCGTTCATTGTTTGTGACCAACGCATGCGACGTGCTCCACCAGCGGCGGGTGCCGCTTGCTGAGTCCGAGAAGACCCAGCCGACACCAAGCCTTCTGGTGAGGATGATGGATGCGGAGGGCTGCTAGGTGATCGTACAGCTTCTCGCGCTCGGCTGGCGGCCCGTATGCTGCCGCGTCCAGCGCCAGCTCCAGACGCGCCCCGGCGACCCCCAGGGCTTACGGGACCCCTTTGGCTAAGACTGAAATTAGCTTAAAGAATATTTAGTATGTTATTATTTACTTTATTAAAAAACTAAACATGAATTGTACAATTAACGACTCTAAAGTATTTGGGCATTATCTACCAGCCTACCACGAGGTAAAATAAAAAACAAATGATAGTGCCTTTAAAAATATTGAAAAAGATCTATCGTTCCATGTGCATAATATTTGGTAATCAACCGCCTCGTTGATCCAGTGATGGTAAACGTAACTGCTTATCATGTCGTTCCGAGTATATATACTGTGTCGGACTATGAATTTCCCCAAAATAACCCATATTCAATAAAATATCAAAATGATAATATAAAACTTATTATAGCGTACCCACTGTAAGCAAAAATAAGGGCTGAAGCTATATTATTTTTTATCACTAAGTATTACTTTTAAATAAGTTTTGTGTATTTAATAATAATAATAATAATAGTTTTATGTATTTAATAAGAAAATAGTAGAACAATAAGGTAAGAAAATAAGATTATTAGTAACATATAACAATTTTATTACAAAAACAGCATCTTTTAAATGTGGTAAATGTTGACTAAAAAGGTACCCAGAGCATTTTGACGCTGCTTTTCCGTGGGTGCCGATAAATAATAACCAAAATATAAAAAACAAACCTTACATTATATAGTATTGGTTATTAGACTCTCTAATTAAATACATATAAATATATGTTTCGGGGTGCGTCTGCGTGATAAACTTAGAAATGAGGACATCCGCAGGCAATGGACCGGCCATATAGCTCGAAGAACCGACAACCGATGGGGAACTAAGGTTCTCGAGTGGAAGCCTCGTACCGGTAGTCGTAGTATAGGGCGACCCCCCACTAGATGGAGTGACGACCTGGTAAGACATGCTGGAAGTCGATGGATGCAGGTGGCTCAGGACCTGCTTTGTGGCATACCTTGGGGAAGGCCTATGTTCAGCAGTGGATTTGTGAAGGGCTGTAATGATGATGATCATGCAATGTATGTGCATATATGTCCAAATATATGCACAAGTACAACTATTACGTATATATATATATAATATATATTTTTTTTTAATAATAAATAAACAATATAGCAATTTCTTACGTAATATGAAAATTATCTGCAATCGAGGAATTTTTAAGTTTATAGAATCTGATCATCAGTTATTTAATACTTAAAATTTCAAGACATTCCACAATACACGGCCCTAACCCAGCTGCACCGATTGACTTATTAGTTCATATATAATCAATTCTTAAAAAGTCATGTTTTAAGTGCTGATTTTTCAATAAAATAAATATCCCTCAAATAAATTATAAATTAAGTGAAACAATTGAACAATTTTATGCATACAACTGTAATACTTTATAAGTTAATGTTGTATTTTAAACTAATAATATCGTTTATCTGATAATTTTAAAATCAGCTTTTCATTGATTTTGATAAATATTTCACTTTAAAGCACAGTTTCACTCGCTGAAAACATTTGTGAAGATTTACTGCACATAACTTTTGACCGCTTGGACCAATTATCTCCAAACATAGACCATTAAACAATTACGCACTTTTACTGAAGTTGCAGATATTATAACCAATCATAGAGAATTACGAATGTAGATGTAACGAAGTCACCTTCCTACGTTAGGTTGAGTATATAACATGTGGCCATATTATGATTATTTTTTTAGTATAGATAGTGTAGTCGTTTGTTGGAATGTATGTATGTATATGTATGTCCGTTTCCATATTCATATGTTATACCTAAACTAGTCTTTGGATTTTGATATATGGCACATCAGTAAATTTTTCATAACTACAAGATGAAATAAAGTACATACGTAATAATGATATACATATCGTTACTGGAAAGGCAAAATTAGTTAACCGCCAAATTGCGCATATTGAGTTATATACATATTCGGAATTAGTGATTTTTCTGCATCGATCTATTTAGGTATCATTGCAATCGAATCAATTGAGTGGTGCTTCAGTAACTCGTATAAAGGCGGGATTATTTTTTTTCTAGAGTGCTTTTTGTACACGAGTGTTATTTAGGTCATGTTTACTTACTGCAAAAATATACAAATTTCAATCAAAGTAAATTTAACTTTCTGTTGTTAGTGTGCTATGTTAGGTTGCGTATATAACATGTAGCCATACTATGATTTATTTTTTAGAACCTATAGATAGTGTAGTCGTTTGTTGGAATATATGTATATGTATGTCCGTTTCTATATTCGCTTGTTATTCCTAAACTAGTCGTCGGATTTTGATATATGGCACATCAGTAAATTTTTCATAACTACACGATGAAATAAAGTACATACGTAATAATGATATACATATCGTTACTGGAAAGGCAAAATTAGTTAACCGCCAAATTGCGCATATTGAGTTATATACATATTCGGAATTAGGTGATTTTTCTGCATCGATCTATTTAGGTATCATTGCAATCGAATCAATTGAGTGGTGCTTCAGTAACTCGTATAAAGGCGGGATTATTTTTTTTTCTAGATTGCGTAAACGACACTCTTTTCGGTATTTTTTACACGAATGTTATTTAGGTCATGTTTACTTACTGCAAAAATATACAAATTTCAATCAAAGTAAATTTAACTTTCTGTTGTTAGTGTGTGAAAATTACATTAATAAGCATAAAGTTAATATAAATACATTTCAGATATTAGACCAATAATATAGTAAATAAAAGGCAAAATATACATATTCGGAATTAGTGATTTTTCTGCATCGATCTATTTAGGTATCATTGCAATCGAATCAATTGAGTGGTGCTTCAGTAATTCGTATAAAGGCGGGATTATTTTTTTTTCTAGATTGCGTAAACGACACTCTTTTCGGTATTTTTTACACGAATGTTATTTAGGTCATGTTTACTTACTGCAAAAATATACAAATTTCAATCAAAGTAAATTTAATTTTCTGTTGTTAGTGTGTGAAAATTACATTAATAAGCATAAAGTTAATATAAATACATTTCAGATATTAGACCAATAATATAGTAAATAAAAGGCAAAATATTGTTTTTCATAATAAATAAATTTATTTAAAAACTTGTAAAAATATTTAAAACATGATAAGTAATAGAAATACAAGTTGAAAATATTATAAAAATAAAGATAAAAAACAATTATAAGATAATTAGAAAATTTGTTAAAAATTGTCTAAGTCATGGAAGCAGTTCATGTATAAAAGAAAATTTTCCATAGATGTCTTGTATGGAGGAGCTGCCGGAGATACATACCTACAGTTGTACATATATTGGGGTGGTCGGGAGCCCGACTGATTGAAGTACTGTAGCACAATGACTAGTCCTATATTAGGGACCTATGATAAAAAACTCAATGATACAAAAGCAATACTATAGAAGGTCTCTGTGATGAATTTGCATTACAATAGTAGGGTCGTGGGTTGAAGAACTATATATTAATGACTTATGAAAGTAGGGTCTATGATACAAAAGCAATACTATAGAAGGTCTCTATGATGAATTTGAATTACAATAGTTGGGTCGTGGGTTCAAGTCCTATATATTAACAATGCTATAAACATTACTAATATCCCCCCCCCCTTAACCACTCGTGGTAAGCTTAAATTGCTTGTGTTACAAGTGGTTCACGCCAGTAGTCGAATAGCGGATTCGAACCCACGACCTTTTTTGAGTTCGCGGTCCGCGCCCTGCCATTAGGCTACTGTCGCTTCAAATATGTATGACTTATGAAATATATATGAATGACTTATGAAATAATATATGTATAACTTATGAAAGTAAGGTCTATGATACAAAAGCATTACTATAGAAAGTCTCTATGATGAATTTGCATTACAATAGTAGGGTCGTGGGTTCGAGTCCTATATATGAATGACTTATTAAAGTAAGGTCTATGATACAAAAGCATTACTATAGAAGGTCTCTATGATGAATTTGAATTACAATAGTGGGGTCGTGGGTTCGAGTCCTATATATGAATGACTTATGAAAGTAAGGTCTATGATACAAAAGCATTACTATAGAAGGTCTCTACGATGCATAAGCATTACGAGATATGGGGTGGTCGGGTGACCGACTGCTCTTAGTACTGTATGACATATCATCTTAATGCTGGTGGTAAGCGGGTTTGTTGTAGCATTGCGGCTTTCCCGTGGACATCGCACACCCATACCGTTTGTGGGCGACGTCGTAGCGCATAGCGATGCGTCGTCTATCTTTCGGATTGGGATGAATTTGGATTCGGATTAAATTCCTCAAACAATAATTTAAATTTAAATACACATATATATATATACATATATACATATAACAAAATTCCTCAAACAATAATATGAAGTAGATAAGTACAATAGACACATAATCACGTAATTTATTCTAACGGTGTTCGAACGACTGAGACAAGTAATGCTCTTTAAGTAGTCGCTTAAACATAACAATAGTTTATGCTTCACGTATACGCAACGGTAGGGCATTCCAGAGCTTGATAGACTGGACAGTAAAAGATTTATTAAATACTTCCTGTATTGTGAGTTGGTATCCTTAAAATGAATTTTCTTGTAGAGCATATAGGTTCTCCTGGAAGCCCTACAAAATTAAATAGAAGGGTGAAATAATACACAGTACAGAATGGAAAGAATATGCATATTCCGGCGAAGTCAGATAGGTAACTACTTGAGACGTGAGCGAAATTGAAAAATATGGTCATATTTGCGCAATCCAAATATGAACCGAATACTAGTGTTTTGAAGCCTCTCAAGCTTATTTAGCTGATCCTCCGTT